ACTTGGGAACCTCTGGTAAAAAATTCCTTACCATTTCCTGAAATAACTAGATACTAAGAATCCCAAATATATTCTTCAAGAATTGAGTATATTGTCCAGTTAACAGTCCAATAATGTCCAGTAGTTTAGAACTGTTTGGATGTATACTGAAAGTTGACAAGAAAGTTTCATCAGAAATCCTTTTCACATGATTTCAGAGTGAGTACCAAACAGAACTTAGAAAAAGTCTTAGAAAATGATGAAATATAAATAAAAAGTGTTTAAAAGTTTGGGTCAGTGAATTGGGTTATTGACTTGAAAAATTGATGTATTTGTGATGCAAAAAAAGCGCAGAGAGACTGATCGAAATTATCATGAAACCATCCAAATTATGCAAATTTTAATTTTAATATAAAATCATGACTAATATATTATATTCAAAGTTCTGAATCAGTAAAAATGAGTTTGTGCAATCATAGCCCTAACTAATAAAAAGAGTTTGTTGACATTAAATGTGACACAGGATTTGCATATGAAAACTAGTATGCAATACCACTTTATATAATATTAAAGATGGGTTCCCTTTTTTTTCATTTATGTAAATGAAAATGCCAATACTTATTTGAATAGAAAGTAGAGGTGTTCTAATGACTTGGAAAAATACCAGTTTGTCTCACCTGACCATAATTAGCTAAATTAGAAGAGAATTACCAGGAGAATTCCAATGAGTGACTGATCAAGAAAGGTCAAGAAGTCTTTTTTTGTTTATCCAGACAATACATACATGAATATTTATGATTGGTTAAAATTCTTAATTGTATGCAATAAGGACATAATATGATTAGGAATACATGATAATTCATTAGAAATACCAATTAATCAAATAGCTTGCTTAATTTGACACTAAAAAATAAGGAAAACCATCTTTAAATGAAAGAATTTACACCTACTTTTCTACACCTATGTTGGATAATGAACAAAGACAACCCCATGTAGTATGCAATGAGTGAAATTTTGATAAGACGGCAGCATAAGACTCTGTTTAGAGATCTTAAGCATGCTTATTAAGCATTAAGCTTGTTTATTGTCCAATTCGAACGACTAAACCCCTCCAACCTGTATCACTGACAGGGGGAAGCAGGGTTGAAAAATCCATACTATAGGACAAGCGTCTGCTTTGAAATTCTATAATTAGCTTGCTACTTGGTCACTTGTTAATCAGCATGAAAAGCTCATACAACTATAATCCAAAATCAAGACAGTCTTGCAATGTCTTCTCTTGCTATATTTGATAACATTGAAGTTCAAACGAATCACTTATAATTATGTTTGTGACGTAAATGAGTAAAAAATACTCGTAAAAGGTCACACATTTACTGACTTAAGAATGGATAAGCCTGGCAAAGTTCCATTAGTATGGATTTTACTTGGCAAGTTTCCAGAGGAATTTGACCAATGATAAGACAGTTGTGTGACCACATACCCGCCTTCAACAGACATAATGTCAATGTGTTCCAGACTTTACTAAGCCAAGTCAAAATAAACAGAAATAAACTCATCTTCACTCTCTCAAATTTTTAAAAGTATTCAACTGTGAACTCTTACTTCCTTTCACTACAAAATTCTCAAACATCATTAGGCTATCAAAACATTTTTACCATTTAAAGTTGAAACTTCAAGACTTTTCTTGATTTTGGTGAGAGGAGCATTGATGACTCTTCCTTGAGTCCTTCCAAGACTGGTGCCAGAAGATTACTATCATTACATACTATTATATTTCCTCTGTACTAATTTTTATCTTAAACAGAGTAAACAGTGAGGAAGGTCAATGCTAACAATGGGACTGGTCTCAATACATCTTACCTGACTATGAAATGTCTAAGATTTTGCTTTGAGTACAGAAGAGCTTCCCTTATGCAAATATACTCAGAACAAAAAATAGTTACATTGCAATATCTTGCATCCAATTTGATTAACTTCCAAACATTTTTTATCTTTAGACACATTCAGGATATTATGCTTTGGTCAAAATCATGAACTCAACTGAATTTCAAAGTGACACTGCGCCCAAGTTTCTTTTTTGCAGTTCCAAATTTTATGGCTGTTATTAATTTCGCAAGACATTTGGTTTTATACATGAATTTTTAGGAGATTTTCAACATTTATCCATGACAAAAATATTCCAAATTCCAAGTTTTAAAAAGAACTTGCCAATCATTCATAGCAAAATTTTCAGAAATTTGAGGGGTCAAAAAGTGCTTTCGAAATTCTGCCATTAAGAAGTTTTGACAGACTCATAAAACTTATATGTATGACATAAACGCCTAAAGTCATATTTATACTTTATTTATGTTGGAAAACGCCTTTGTCAATTATGATGTCAATACATGTAGCATGAATATATAACATCATCAAAATATAAATTTCAAACTTATCACGAGAAAATATCACTCTGCTTATAAGAGTTTTACTCTACATTATGATATTTTGGCGAGATTAGTTGCAATAATAAATACCAATTGGAAGTTTGTTAAAAATGCTTTATGTAATTTGCTATTAAAATCAATGAAGTTGAACGTAGAGTAACCTTAACCAAGTGACATGGTTATAATGACAGTTAACCGTCAACATACAATAATAGTTCCTTTGTTGTTTTTATCTTTTTTTTATATCTCGGCATGCAAAGGTTATTATTTGAATATTTTTATATTGGAAATGTCAAATTTAAACGCTTATATATAAAAGTTTAATGGTACCTGGAATAATAAAATATAGAATGTATGAATGGCAAGGTGTATTCTGTCACTGATATATATTAATTGTATTCATGATACTCCTATAGGAACTATTGCTGGTATGATATATCGGTGAATTGATGTATCGCAATACATGTATCGTATTGCATGGTCGTGTATCAATACTTGACGATACCCCTTTCATTAAGTTTGGAATCGCACCTTTTTTTTGACTGATTTGACTGAAAATGTTGGTGACTATTTACAACCCCTTTCAATTACTTTACCAAATATCAGTTATAACGTTTTGTGGCATTATTGGATATACTCAACTCTAAAATGCACGCAGGTTTCTTTTTGGAAAAAACAAATTTAAAACAGTCAATAGAGAGAGAGTGGGAGATAGAAATTTTATAGAAATCTGGAATAATGACCTGGTTATCTCTTCAAATAGTAATTACTGTAATTTGTGGTCAAGCTAGGAAATGTGGATGAACTATGAACTTATGTAGCACAATCATGTCCATTTTGGTGGCTACTATTCGTTTTTAATTGAAATCTTCCTAAATTTATGATTTATAGGATAGTAATTCGGTCATCAAAACATTGGTAGATAGGTCATCAAGATGATAAAATTCTAACACACCTTGAAAATATGTCCTGTTCATTAGGTGTGAATAGCCCAGTTGTCAAAATAGAATAGAAAACCTATTAAAAGACAGTCAATCCATGGGAGGCAGATCAATGTTTCATTGAACAGAGATTTGACTTGAATTTTAAAAAATTTGGCAAATAACACAAGATCAAGAAATCATATTCAGACGCCCAAATGGCAGTATCGTACCAATCATAAAATTATTTGAACATCAAACTTATCTAGTTTAAAGCTTCCTGTTCTCAAGTTATTTAAAGATGGATTTCCTTGACTATCTGACAACTAGTTTTAAATCATTTGAAATTGGCTGATTCAGTACAGTGTGCTAACTGTCAACACCTGATACTTTGAGGCTTTGAGCATTGACAACTGTTGACATTGACAGCACTGACAGCGTTTGAAAGTTAAAATGATGACTCATCTTTCCTTGAGCCATACATAGAAATAAATAAAAGTGAAATTCATAGTTTGAGGTCTTTTTGAAGGAATTATGAATGACTACATTTCTAGTACTTCTGAAGTCTATTTACATATATTGCAAACACAAATCAATGCCCGAAAATGATTCACTAGGGAGTTATTACACTTATTTATACACTGATTGCTTCTCTTTAAATTTTTTAGGCTTATTCAGCAATAATATAGCAATTTAATATCAATTCACATTTCTTCATTTCCCCTTCTCCCTCTTTTTCAAACCAAATCAGGACAATGACCAAAAATCCAAAATAAGTTATTCTTTTGACCATTCTATTAAATAAGATAATAGTCATGCCTCAAGCAGTGTGATTAAATCAACCATAATAAATTGTTTATCACTTGACCAACTATTTATATTAAAGATTTGCCTGTATCTGTTTAATCCTTGATTGAGATAATAATCTTTAAAAATAATCTTGAAATCAAACACTATGTATGTAAGATGACACCATAATCCAGCTTAAAATCTATTAAAATTCATTTAAGTCTGTGATCATGTTTGATATTTGTTTTAATATTTTTCAGTTCAGTTAATTTGTTAAACCAGTGTAATTAATATGTATGAAAAATTTTCAAACAGGTTTTGAAAGCTATATTTGATACCAGCCATTGAATACAACAAATGGACTTATATGATATCTTTTTATATGTGTTTACATTAAATTTTTCAATAGCTAAGCAATTTGCACTGAAATAAACTGCAGTATGTAAGCAGTTTTTTCACTTTCTATTGACACTCTTCAATTTCATCAAATGAAGGTATGTTTGGTATATATACATTCAGTATTGCATCATTTCAATACAGCAGACAACCTCTACAGTTCAACTGAGCAACATTACATTCAACATGTCTGTATAGTGTATTTACTAGGAAATAGAGTAACTCAACTGACAATATACACACAAAACTACATTATCATGTATCAAGACATAGTTAGTGTGTAGGAGTGTAGTCCATAACCTAAAAAAACCTTCAGTATAGTATCTGTGTCTCCTATGCCGGTCTCAATAAAAATGTAGTACATGACCTTAATAGGTTATTCACATTGACATGATGTAAGCCATTTTTAAAAAATGAAGTGTAAAATGTAGTATTACAAATCAAATCAATCAATCAATCAAAAATGAAATAAAAAATTATCAAAACTGACCAATCGTTGGCGCTCTTTTGGATCAGTAACTATCTTCTTTACTGATGACCTTCTTGACCCTTTTCCACTACTGCTCCGGAATTTGCCGTGTGAAGTCATTACAACACTGAAAGTTTTTCAAAATTTGTCTCAAAAGCTCTTCTTAAATCCTTTAGCTATCACCACACAATCAAACTAATGACTTGATATTGACAAACAATGTATAGAGAGAAGTTATTTGTCTTATATAGGATTCACAGACACCGTGGTATAATAGACTAAGGTTATATTAATGTGACTGTCTACATGTATTTATATCCGTGGTCTAAAGCTTGCATTTGATTGGTTGAAATGTTTGAGTCAGCCCACATCTACTCCATTCAATAAATCAGAGATAGTACTATCACAGTTAACTTCTACATTACAATAGATACTAAGATAACTAATTCAGTTGGTTACACATCACTTGAGAAATGAAGGGCTAACATAATACATACTAGGCAGACAAGGTAATATACACCAACCAGTTAGTAGCAGGGACTGGGGTTTGAGCGAATAGCTCCCACATACTCAAAATATGTCAAATTCTGGTTTCCAACTAATATGTCTAATGTTGAGCACATCTGGAAGTTATTTCACAAACAATTTTGATAACCAAATAGTATAAGCTTATTCCATTCATTTTTGTTTTTTAAGAAATTTCAATTGAACTAACCAGTTCAGAACAAAGCTACATCACAGACAACCATAGTACTGCCTGCAGTAAAAAAATAATAACAGGTACTGGAATTGCACCATAAAGATCTATTACTACCATCAAATTAGTTCAAAAGTTTCAGTAAAAAAATCTTATGTAACCTATAATTCTATCAATACTTGGTGTTCATCTAAATGTACCAGTATGTGTCCAAATAGCTTGTGACACCAGCCATTGATCTCACAATATGTAGGGATATATATGACACTGATTTTATGTTTTTTGTACAAAGTATTTTCTAAATAAGTATTTGTATGTCACTGAATCACTGAACAGGTGCTGAGTCACTGAACAGTCACTGAGTCACAAAGTCACTGAACAGTCACAAAGTCACCGAACTCTAAACAGTCACAAAGTCACTGAACTCTGAACAGTCACAAAGTCACTGAACAGTCACAACGTCATTGAACACTGAACAGTCACAAAGTCACTGAACAGTCATTGAGTCACTGAAAAGTCACTGAACAGTCACTGAACAGTCACAAAGTCACTAAGTCACTGAGCAACTACGGTACGGTACTATTGAATGTTATACTCAGCAACAACTCTCAAACAGGCTTGATTATTATGAAATGTTACACCTATTAATATAAACAATATATATTTAAATTGATGTGCTGCTATAGGATTATCAACTGGATTTTGATTAGGCCGTAAGTTATCAGTAATTATTACATACTTTTGTTACCGGTACTACTAGTTGTAAACAAACCTTTGGACATGTCTGTAATGCGAAAAGGCTAGTTAAATGAGATAAATTTATTTATTTACATTGAAACATAATTTCATATGAGAAGAAACAATATAAAATGTTGTAAAAAAAAAGATTTTTTTCTTTTAAATCAAATTTTGAAAAATCAAAATAAACCAATGCAAATCACGCAATACAGAAAATAATTTTTAGATTCCCATAAATTCAAATTAAGTTAAGGCCTACTAAGTTATCGATGGCTAAACTGTGAAGGATCGTCATCAGAATAAGGGAACCTCAAACATCATGCATTATGAATAGTACTAGTATAATCTTATATTGATCACTACGCTGATATCATCTTTAGAAGTATTATATCTGTATGAAAATCTCATAATCTCCCCTACTGGTCCTACCCAAATATTCATATCATATCATATTCAAGATGCTTTAAAGCTACAGGTAGGATTAAAATAAGAGATCTAAACAAGCTGCACTAAGCCTCTAAGGGAACCTCCAGGGCAATTACAGTAATGGCAAAACATCTACACTCTGAGTACAGATAGGTAGACACTCAATAGACATTTTAAAGGCATTACTATTTTGGAGTTAACCCAAAAAGTAAAATGTCATTTAGAAACCACAGAACTGGTGAGTCCACTTCCGAAAGGAAAGTAGCCCAACCAACAACGGTAGACCCGCAACGTTACATAAAAGTGATAAATTTATAAATACTGGTAATGGTATTGTGATAGGGTGTATTTTTAAAGAAATTTTGGCCTATTTAATAAATTGTAAAGAGGTTTTCTAAGAAAAATAATTGACAATCCCTTTTTTACTTAAGCTTGAGCCTACTAGCCTAGATCTAATACTAATAGGTCTACTAATATTTAATTAAAAATAAAATTATATTATAGTTATACTTACAGCAGCTTGATCTATAGATGGAGGAAATAAACACAGTTTTCTTGACATTTTGAAGTCAAAGCTTAAATATAGGATCACCAGGAGGAAGAGTTATCATTCAGAATCCATATAGATATGAAAGTGTTTCAATGTTTCATTAACAACAGGATTGGGATGTCATGAAGGTCATTTTTATTACGCCTCGGCCTTCCAGTATCTTTAGTCCATTAAAAAAACGAGGAACGCAGATAGACTGGACAATGTACTCTAGTTCAAGTTCAAGGTCGTTTTCCTTAAAAGGTGCAGTTTACATTATTTTCTTTTATTAGATTTACTAGACGATCTGGACCTATTAAATTCATTTATTTTATTTATAAAACTATATTACGTAATGACTGTTACTATTTGGCTTTTTACAGGCAATAAGTTTGAGATAAAAATAATTAATTAGAGATTTATTTCGATTTTGATGTAGAGAAATCGAAAGCGGAAGTGGGTTGTTTTGGGAGAATGAAAGATGGCTGCCACTGTAAATGGAGTAACGTTGGCTGCTCTGTTTTATCATCATCAAAGCAGCCCAAATGATCAGGTTAGTAGTGTAATTTATGATTGACAGCGGATATCTGAAGTGGTAAATTGTCATTCCTCTTGGAATTGAAATCTCATCAGGCAATAGATCATAAACTTTGGTATATTTTCATAGTTTTAATTTATCATTGGCATTGGTTGTAGGCTTACTCTCTAGACCTAACATTACCATTACTCACTGATAACATTAAATTAGCAGGGCTAAATTTATCATAGTGGTGAGACTGAGTCATCAATAGGTACTAGATATACTTATATACAGGTTGATATTGACTAAATAGTATACCGTACCAGTTATTGCATATTAGAGAAGTAATCAAGATATAGATGTATAATGTATTATTAATGATATTTTATACTATAACTTTATGATTTGCTTGATTATCTACCCCAAAATAAACTTCATGTATAGGGTCAAGAATTTATGTGCTGTGTTGACTGCAAACTTGTTAAGTACCGTACTGGTAGTTTTATATGAGCTTATAAATAATAACGTGCAGGTTCAGATCCAGATCCATTTTGATCTCACTATTTCAAATGTTCATGATAGATCTTGAAAGTGTTTATATGATTTCTGTTTTTTCAAATCAATATTTCAAATCATATTTTTATATATTGGTAGTACCTTACATAACAAACACTGTGCAGTGATATATTATGAATATATGGACAAAGTCTATCTATGTATGTATATAATGACTAGAATAATTGATTGCATGGCATGTGGTACTTTACCATAATTGTTTAATAACTACATGAGGTTGTTATTACATATTATATAATAATACCATATATTCAAACTACATGATTATAGTGACAGTGGAACAACTCAGTCAGTAGAGAGCTGGATTGTCATTTGCTTGACAAGTAAGTGCTGTGGGTTTGAATCCTCTGATGCCACAGGGTGTTCTTCCAAAGGTTGGCTCAGTGTCAGTTTTCAACCCTCATCACATTCGATATCATAAACGCTAAAAGATGCAGGATTTGTTAATTTTTTTAAATTTTATTTTAGGAAGGGTTTTTATTTGGTAAGGTAATAAAGAATGTAGAAGACACTATCAGTGATACACAGATAAACAATACACAACTTCAAACCACACTGTGTGAGTCAAACTATTTTGTTTTTATATGGTACTGAATAAAACAGTTCTGAACTTCTTTCAGTTGTCAGTTTCTTACAAGCTGTTATTACCGTACTCCAAAAAGAACTTTCTTAAACTTAATGTTAACAGTTTTGTCATTTTCAAGCAATATGGTTGCTTCTCAGCCTTACTGGTATTATCAGCCAAAACATTGTCCATTGCTGTAAGATTTTTTCAAAAATTCACAAATAACATATGATGTACAAGTTATCTCTGCAAGAAAGCCTGTAAAATTTGAATTAGCCAAATAAATATGTACCGGTAATCAAGATATCAGCTTAAATATTCAATTATTAAAACTCAATATTTTTTTTTTTATTATTTAGATATAACTGATTTTTTACCCTGGAATAAAGATATAAGTTTATATGGTACTAATGGCTATCTTGATAAAACAATGTTGGAATCAGTTTTACAAGGAAGAGAAAAGGTAGAGAGATCAAACCCTAATAACACACAATAAACTGAAATGGAATTTTTCGTAACTTCTAGTGTTGACTTCCTTTCATGTGACATTTTTCAATTTGTGTAAATTTAAATGATCTTTGAAAATTGTCCACTAACAGACCTTAGTTGCTTGGATTGAGGCTGCTACAATGTTATTGTTTAGATTAGTGGTTGTTTAGTGTCAAAATTCAGAATATACAGAATGTTGTATTACTCAAAGTTACATAAGAAGGAAATAACTCGGTCAGATGTCTGAATTGACAGAGTAAGTGCATTGTATTTGCATCAAAGGGATAAATCTGAATATTTATCTTTAGTAATTGCCATTAATTAACATTCCTGAAGTTTATTTGGTGCTTCCATATTAATTTCAGGATGTTATTGGATGGTATAGTTGTAGAAGAAACACCTCTATGAGAGTGTCAATGAAAGAAGCCACATTACATAGAAATATATTATCTACTATTGTACCTGAATATCCTGAAGATTTTCTCTTCTTATTATCAACATCATTAATCTCAACTAATCTTTCAACACATTCTTTTGATCATGCCTTATATAGATATAGATACAGGTAATTTACATGATAATGTCTTCATACTTTCATTGTTATATGGCATTTTAACAATTAATTTGAAGAATTTGAATCATCAGTTTCAAAGGGATTTTTTTAACTTTTTATGTAGATAAGGAACACTGATATCCTTGATTTGCACTATTCCAATATTTTCAGTAGGATGTC